TTGTTACATGGGCCTAATGGTGGGATTAGGCACATCAAGATTGTTTCTAGAAGATGAGGGACTTGGGGTGTGATCAACCATCTTCACATGTACCTGATGCGTAATCAGGTTTGCCTTAATGGTTTATTTGTTTTTCAGGATAAAAATTGGAAGTAGATTGAATACAAAGAAGGATATTTTACTGGGGCATCGTGAAGGGAAATTATTGATGACCATCTTTTGGTACGCCTTCAACACACTACTATTTGGAACAAAATATTTCTTGGTAAAGTTAATATATTTGTGTGGAGATCTATTCTTGAATGATTTCTTATTCGTAGGAATCTTGAGAAAATTGGGGTTTCTATCAGTTCCCATTTATTTCCTGGTGGGATGTCAAGTCCACCAAGAAAATTACACCGTTTTCTTGCAAATAAAACGTAATATACTAGTAAAAAGGGGTATCGATCCTCGGGGAAATGGTTGTATTCAATCACCAATGCAATCCAATAAAACTAGTGTAATAAAACTAACTAATTACAATTAAACTAAAACGAGGGTTTAGTGATTGTTTGAAAACTAAAAGACTTGAAGAACTAAAATACTTGTAATTAAGCAAGATGATGAGATGCTCAAATATTGGAGAGAATTAGTCAACCAAGGCAACTCAACACAATGGACATTTGTGTGTTTATCATTAGGATTCAATATGCAAGCTTATCATTCATCCCAAATTGGTTATAACAATCATGAAACATGATATTCCAAGATTCCTAAAAGGTAGTATGGAGGTTGGGGAAACCCACAACACACCTTCTTAATCAAAATCAAGGATTCAATTGAAGCAATGGAACCCAAGAAAGTTGATTAGCCTTAAGAATGAAGGAATCCCTAATTCATGGAGGATATCAATGCTTACAAATCCATAAAGGAGTCATGATCCAAAAGGTAGAGATGATTTCTACCATCATAAATCCCTTGTTCTAAGCAAATTTAATGATTCAATGCTAAATCAAATAAATAAACCAACATCATTCAAATACCAAGCTCATGATCAAAGTATCAAACAAGTATATGAATTATTAACTAGAATCATAAACATAAGATAAATGACAATAAAGCATGAATCCTTCAAAACCCAAAAATATCCAAGGGTTTTAGTCCAAGTCAACAAAAATAATGAGATTAGCCACTCATGGAAACAAGAAAACAATCACAAAAGTGTTTTTGCATCAAGAAACTAACAATTACTAGAAGGATGAGAATAATGTAGATCAATCTCTCAAAAATTGCCTTCATGGTGCTCTAATCGTGGAAAATTGAAGTGTGGCTGCCAAACCTAATCCCCAAGGTAAAATGGTGAGCAAAATGACCAAAATGCCCCAAAGTGTGCAGTTGCGCGGGTACCCTCGCAAATGTTGTGTGACTAAGACCCCATCCTCGCAAATGGTGTTGAAACACTATTGGATCTTTTTCTCCACTACTCCACTCCACTACTCAAGATTCCCTTGGTTCCCTCCACACCTCACATGATTCAAATTTGACCAATCTTCTTCAAGCTTCAAATAGATAGTCCATGCCCAATAGGAAGAGTCCATGACCCATATTCATAAGCCCACTTCATCAAATTCTTCAACATTATAAGCCCAATTCTTCTTTGATGGATCCGGAAAGCCCAATAATGCCTTGAAAGTCCAAAAACCTGCAAAATACCTCTTGCAAAAGCCTACAAAATAGAAAGTACCCGACACAACTCACGATAAAGAAAATAAAGAATGCCTTGAAAGTCCAAGTATTAAACATTATAACCACATCAAGACAAGATCCATGATCCGGAAAGCTCAATAATGCGTTGAAAATCCAAGTCTTCAACACTATAACCACATCGAGACTCCAAAACCCTACAAAATACATTTTGCAAAATAGAAAGTACCCAACACGATCCATGATAAATAAAATAAAGAATATACAATGCAATACTAATAAAAAGGGCTAAAAATTCTAAAATAAACTATAAAAAATGAAATAAAATAAACTATCATGTCCCCTTTGTAACATTACATTATAGACAGAGTCCTATGTTATCCTGATTTTGTTTTGTCTCTTGCGAGGTACGTGCTGCCATCATCTAGTGGAATCAGGTTCTAGTGGATTGCAGATTTCTCCATGATCACTTTAGTTTTATTCTAGTTTTGGTACCCCTGTTGAATGAGAAATGATATATCGGATGTGCTTTCTGCTTTTGCTTGAACTATCTATGTAACGTCCCAATATTCAGAATAAGGTTTCATTTAATATCAAAAGCATTTGTTCCAATTCCATTCTCAAATATCGGATAAAAATAATTGTTTCAAAATAACAATCACAGTATTGAGATAGTAAGTAAAAAGTACGGAAGTCCCAAATATATCTAATGATACTATACAATCAGGTCGTGCTCTTCCCCTTGCTACCAAAACAACAAACAACCTAAAATATTTAAAACTGAAACCGTAAGCACAAAGCTTAGTGAGTTCCCCTAAATACCATACACAACATAAAATAACCATACCCTACAATAACATATATGTTTCAGCCAAACAGGACTAGCCTAACGAGTATGTTTCAACTCAATAGGCCTCGCCCGACGAGTTTATTTCAACCAAATAGTGCTAGCCCAATAGGTATGTTTCAAGCCACAAAGCCTCACCCAATGGGTTAGTTTCAGCCAAATGGGCCTAGCCCAACGGGTATGTTTCAACCCAATAGGTCTCACCTAATAAAACATGTAAGCATACAAGTAACCAACAAGACCCTACTAGTCTAGCATACTATAACACCTAGTGTCCTACATAGTATATTGAGAAGACTCACCTTAATTGAAGAGCTAAATCCAGCTACTTGAAGTCTATCGAATCAATTACATGAACCACATAACTAATCATAGGCTAAATCTCAGTATATTACTTAAAACCTCAAATTTGACGAAAAGTGAAATTGGTCAAGAAGTCAACATTCAACGTTCAAGTCAAGGGTCTTCACGTCATGATCAACCGCTAGTCACGTCGTGACCAACAAGAAACAAAATTTAGACCTGCGCCGTGAGTCTCAAACCTTATCATGCCACGAATCACATCTGAGCCAACTTTTACTTAAGTCCTTAAACCATTAAGTCAAGAGCTCAAAAGCTCATCTTTGAATCTTGTAAGTGACTTAATGGATAAAATTTCCAACTTTATCCATTCCCATGGATTAATCTCCTCTAAACTCCAACCCTAACTATAAAAGGGCCAAATCTCCTGCATCGAGCAAAAAAGGAAAGCATACATAACCATTTTTCCATCATCTAACAAATCCAAAAGTCATTTAAGTAACTCATATGGTTCTGTAGCTTTCGAAACTCCATTAACACCATAAAAAGGGACCAAAAGATACCATCAAGATATGCAAAATTAGATCTAAAGCAATAATTATCAAGATAAGAAATTTATACTTACAATAGTCTAGAAATATGATAACAATGATGGATCTAAACTGAGACAAATCTTGCTTGCACCAAGGGACACCTTCACCACCTTCAAGCTTCACCAAAAGGATGAAATTAACTCAAAAACACAAAAGGAGGCTACAAATTACAGGGAGGAACATTTCTGAGAGTGGTGGCTGCCTAAATGAGGTAACCCTATGGATTAGAGCCTTTACATAGGGAACAAACGCCGAGAATTATGGTTTCTCCATTCAGCAGAGTCGTGCCATTACATTAATTAATGTGTAACGTTGCGACCTGCCCAAGGTCGCATCGTGCATCCGTTAAATCCTTAAAACTTAAGCATTTCTGAAAATAGAATGTTACAATCTACAGATACATATGTGATAACATATTTAATGGCAAACTTAAGAGTTGTCATATGTTGACATTTGAACGACTTAAATATAGATCTAAAAAAGGTTATTTTTTAATTGATTTGATTGGTGTTGTAGCGCTTCATGATAGTTTATCAAACTAATATAATTCTAACTTCTAGCTAGCTTGTTTTGAATAAAATGTTTTTGCAGTTAGGAGATATGACGAGTCATAACGCATTTTAAGCGAAAATTTATGTAAATAACTTTTCTACTATTATCCAAATTTTTATATAACTTAAAATTTTATATATATATATATATATATATATATATATATATATATATATATACAACTTAAGTCGGTGTTTTTATGGCATGACGTTAGATACAAGCATTCGAGCTATGATGTGTTTTGTCGAAGCTATGGCCTATAGTTACGAGCTTTTTAACATATTGTTTGTGATTGGTCTTTATACATGGAGAAGTTGAATTTAATTTAGATGTTACCTTAGGTTGACGAATTAATGAATATTCGATAAATGTAAATTTAAAAGTGCATTGGTTGTGTCCATGTATTATAAGTTTATAACCTCACGTTTATTACAAAATAATGTAATAGAATTTGAAGCAAATAAACCATCGAAAATTTCATATTGCAATGCCTTAGTTAATTTCAACAACATACATTTTGTCACTCGCTTTTACCACAAAATTTTATTGTTTCACAACCTGCCGGAATACGCAAATTAAGCGTATTCAATTCATATACCATGACGGGAATAATACTAGCTAGCATAGTAGCATTAGATTTACAATTAATAAAATTAATTTGGAATAACATAAAGTTTCTTGATAATAATGTATTGTATGATTTTCTTAGCAAACTAATCATTTGCTTGTGGATGAGTAAATACTGCACCAATTGAACATGGTCCTCAAACCTGTATATAAAAATCATAAGGAAAAAAAGAAAAGTAAATAAAGCTCAAGAGACACTGAGTGGAGGTGTTCACTGTGCAGAAGAACTTGTGCTCACTATTGAATCCCGCATTATCTCCGCGTGAAATTAATGCATCCATCTAACTGCTCAACTGTATAACTTCATAAAGACAATAGTCGTCGTCCATCCCATTCATTTTTCCACTGTTAAAACAAACACATACATACACACACTTCGTGTATATATATAGACAACAATCTCAACATTAAATTACATCACACACTTGATCACCTTTTCCAAGGACACTTTGCTCTTTATAACATCTCTTGTGTTTGAAGTAACTTTTGCTGCATTTATAGAGATGGCAAGCGAGCAAAAGAAATGGTTGGTTATGCATGTAATTGCAATCATTTTTGCATTGAAAATGGTTTCTTTTGGGGTTAATGGTGATCCTCAAGTTCCATGTTACTTTATCTTTGGTGATTCTTTGGTGGATAATGGGAATAATAACGGAATCGCATCGTTGGCTAGAGCCAATTACTTGCCTTATGGCATTGATTTCCCAGGTGGCCCCACGGGAAGGTTTTCCAATGGAAGAACAGTAGTTGATACAGTTGGTAAGCTTCATATTCGTTTTCTTTGCTATAAATTGTTCCTTTACTTCAAAAACATAAACATTTATTACAATTGTATTAAATTTACATGTATAGTTTATGTTTTAAATATTTTATATTGGATATGTTCTTATAGCTATTATGACAAGAATTATGTCATGTTAATAGAATCTCAGTTACTTTCGTCAAATATTAACACTACTTTATACTCTGAAAATTACTTGATCCGCAGCTGAGCTTCTGGGTTTCGATGATTATATTCCTCCATATGCAAATGTTAGGGGCCAGGCCATACTTGGGGGTGTGAATTATGCATCGGCAGCAGCTGGAATCAGAGACGAAACTGGCCAACAATTGGTACGCATTTTCTAACATTTTACAATCATATTCTTATATCAACTTTGTTTTCATCACCATAATTAAATACTACTAAAAGATGAAGAATTCACATCTTTTTCTTTTATGTTTTATATTATAGGGTGCTCGAATCAGCTTTGGTGGGCAGGTTAATAATTACAAAAATACAGTGTCACAAGTGGTGGATATACTTGGAGACGAAAATTCAGCAGCAAATTATCTTAGACAATGCATTTATTCAGTTGGATTAGGAAGCAATGATTACCTTAATAACTATTTCATGCCTAATTACTACCAAACTAGCCGACAGTTTACACCCGAACAGTATGCCTCTGTACTCATTCAACAATATTCCCAGTTAGTAAGAGTAAGTAATACACTTATTACCCAACTTACGAATGAGCTTAAAGAAACATGTATGCATGACTAATTAAAAAAAAATATTATTTTTGGGACAACTTTCAGGAATTGTATAACTACGGAGCAAGGAAACTTGTGTTGAACGGGATCGGACAGATTGGGTGTAGTCCAAATGCATTGGCTCAAAATAGTCCAGATGGGACTACATGTGTGGCGAAAATCAACTCCGCAAACCAGATCTTCAACAACCAGCTCAGATCTCTTGTGGATACGTTTAACAGAGAACTAACAGATGCTAAATTCATCTATATCAACAATTATGGAATTTTCCAAAGCTTGATCAGTAGCCCTCGGTCTTATGGTACATATGCTAGACTTTGTTTTTTTATGCTTCCAATTCTAGCGGCTGGTTTTTAAAGAAACTTGGATTAATGTGTTTGATTTAATTGTGTAGGTTTCACCGTGACAAATGCTGGGTGCTGTGGAGTGGGAAAGAACAATGGCCAAATTACTTGTCTTCCTGGTCAAACACCTTGTCAAGATAGAGATGCGCATCTGTTTTGGGATGCTTTTCACCCTACTGAAGCTGCGAATGTGATTGTTGGCAGGAGATCTTACAATGCTCAGTCAGCATCAGATGCGTATCCAATGGATATCAACCGATTGGCTCAGCTGTAAACGTAATACGTTTTGCTACATGTATACTACTACATTGTATTGTATTAAACTCATAATTGTGTTTAATAATTCCTTTTGTATTGCCATTGTTTTGATAAATGAATATCAGTAAGTTTGTATGAGAGAACTACCTGGTCAAAAGACTTGCATGTAACCCACCCAAATTAAATTGTTTGATTCAAAACCCTCTACACCTACAAGGTCGGACCCTATAGTAAGGGCAAGGTAAGCTATTTTCTAACCGGCCAAATTTGTTTTAATAAATGAATATCAATAATGTACATTTGTATTGCCACAGACGTGCAAAAGTTAGGGGCCTTACTCTAAACCAGTTGTATAAACAGGAAAGGATGCCTTTTGGGGCAACTGAGAATGGCAAACCTAGTTGTAATTAAGTGAATATTTCCTGTTCCTCAATGAGAAAAAATTAAATATAGAGAACTTCATTTAAATATAGGTACTGGTGTAGACAAAGGAGAGAGTTAGACTAAAGTCGTTAAAGAGAAGAGAAGATGCCGTCAACATTATCTTAATTTACAATGTCATAATGAAGAAAACACAACGAAATGTATTACCTTTCTATCCAAAATTTGCATTAATTTGTTTGAGTAAATTAAACGAATGGTCCTTGTGTTACTTGTGCACCGAGTCCCTAAGTCGGGTTTTCCGTCCTTAAATGGCAAAATTGTTGCACGATAGGTCCTTAATGTAACCCTCCGTCAACTTGTGCTGTTAGTGAGCCCCAAGCTAGGGATAATTTAGTCAATTCATGTGTGGGGATCTCTTACTTCCTTGATGTTTGTTATTTTTTCACCACCGGATTCCATTTGAAGCTGTAAAAAACCAACAGACATTTCCCTTTTCATCCTCTCTTTTTTTGCTTTTGATTTCGAATCGATTTTGCAGATTTGGGTTTTCAACATCTTGAACGCCATGGAAGTCTCAGATGAAGTTTGTATTGCACACTCCTCTGGCAAGACCATTCATGTAATCCGTTTTTATTATTTTTTTTATTTTTATTTATTTATTTATTTTTTTTTTGAAAATTCAGATAAGCTACTTCGACAGCAACATCGACCGGTCTTTCCCGTTCAAGCTACTTTGACCGGCCCTTTTATCTTCTCCGACAAGACCTCTGAAAAATCCAAATCAGTCAAACCACAATTGCTGTCTACCACTACCACCTTTGTCATTGAGAACCACCTCCGCGTTTGACCACCACCTCTCCCATTGACCACCAGCATTAGCACTAACACCACCGCTAACATCATTGCCATCAACCACCGCTAACCCCACTAACATCAACCACCGTCAATACTATTAACAATCCCAATAATTTCAAAAATTTCAGTAAATACACAATAACAATCAAAATTATTATGCACAGTATTTTCCTATGATCCATAATTGTACTCCATCACCAAATATATACATGTTACAATAACCGGGCTACGCTAAAACATTGTGGGCTAAATACAATGGGCCACACAAAAAATAAAACAAATACAATAACCAATACAACATGAATAGCAGTAGTAAAGTATACGTCTAACAACCCCCCACACTAGGAACGAGAGTTCTTGAGCGGGCGTTGTGGATCTGAAGTGAAGAAATAACGAGGATGGAAGCCCTTTGGTCAAAATATATGCATACTGATAGGAAGATGGCACATGAAGAACACGGATATGTCCCAAAGCAACTTTGTCTCGAACAAAATGAATGTCTATCTCAATGTGTTTTGTACATTGACGATGAACAAAATTCGTAGAGAGATATACATCACTCACATTATAACATTAAACAAGAGTGGCAAAGAGAGGAGGATATAAAACTCATGTAAGAGACTGCGAAGCCAGCTAGTCTCGGCAACTTTGTCTCGAACAAAATGAATGTCTATCTCAATGTGTTTTGTACATTGACGATGAACAAAATTCGTAGAGATATACATCACTCACATTATAACATTAAACAAGAGTGACAGAGAGAGGAGGATATAAAACTCATGTAAGAGACTGCGAAGCCAGCTAGTCTCGGCAACTGCATTTGCAACACCCGTGTACTCGACTTTGGCATTGGACCGAGAAGTCGTACCCTGTCTCTTAGACGGCCAAGAGAGAATATTAGGTCCATGAAAAGCGCAGTATCCAGATGTGGATCGTCTGGATATGGGGCAACCGACCCGATCAACATCAGAATAGGCAACAAAACCTCGAGAAGGAGATGCATATAATTGTAGACCATGATCAAGAGTGCCCCGAAGGTACCTTAGAATGCGTTTAAGAGCTGAGAAGTGAGGTTCCCGGGTATCATTCATAAATAAACAGACCTACTGAACTGCATAAGTAATGTCAAGGCGAGTGAAAGTCAGATATTAGAGGGCTCTTACGAGACTGCGGTAGTGTGTCGGATCATCAACTGGTGGGCCAGTGCCATCAAGTTTAGCAGATGTGTATGTAGGAGTACGTGTCAGCTTGCAATTAAGCATGTGAGCACGCTCAAGTATTACAATAACATATTTTTGTTGAGATAAAAACATTCATTGACAATCTCGTGAGACAGAAGTACCAAAAAAATAATTTAGGGAACCCAAATCTGTCATGGAAAAACTTTGAGTGTAAAGTGATAATGATATGTTGAAGGAGACCCATATAGGAGGTTGTCAATACAATATCATCCACATACAAAAGAAGGTATGCAAGTTGATCACCCTGTGTATAAATAAATAATGAAGAATCAGAGTGACTGTTAGAAAATCCGTGGCATGTAATGAACTGAGCAAAGTGGTGATACCAAGCCTATGGTGCCTGTTTGAGCCCATATAGTGACTTTTTAAGTAAACAAAAATGATTGGGATGTGATGTGTCACGAAACCCCAGAGGTTGATACATGTAGACAGTCTCCTAAAGATGACCATGAAGGAAAGCATTTTGGACATCTAACTAATTAACTGGCCAATGATGTTAAATAGCCAGGCTGGGAATAGTCATGATAGTGGCCGACTTAACAACCAGACTGAAGGTATCATCGCAGTCGAAACCGACGCATTGAGTGCGACCGTTGGCAACCAAACATGGCTTATACCGTGCTAGAGATCCATCTGCATTAAGTTTCTTTTTGAACAGAAAAATACAGTTAACCACATTAGCATTAGGAGGCCCAGGTACAAGTACCCAAGTCTCATTAAAAATAAGTGCATTAAATTCTTTTGCCATAGCATTCAGCCAGTTAGGATCTTGGAAGGCTTGGGAATAGGCTCGAGGGATAGGTGAGGGGTCGGAATGGGACTTAGTATGAAGATTAAGTTTGGTGATGGGTTTGACAATTCCATGATGAGAACGAGAGGGAGCAGAAGCATTTTTTTGGTCAGCTTCATGAACCATAGGATGAAAGTCCGAGGGACCTTCGGTTGAGGAAGAGACACCTATGGAAGGAGTATCACTGGTTCTAGAGCCAACAATAGGAGGAGCGTCGGAGGGAGACCCGACGGTTGTGGGGTTAGTGGTAGAGGTGTGAGTAGGATTGGTGGCATCGGCGGGAGATGTAACACCGTAAACTTTAAGACCAAATTTTTCATTTTTAAAACACATAAAACTTATATAATATTTCATAAAACCACAAGTGTCTCAAATGTCAACATAAATCCACAATAAAAGTCAAATCCCAGAATCCTCAAAATAGTCTCGAACAGGTGTGTACAATCATGCTGGTGCCTTCCCGCGGTCCTAAGAGGTACCTAAAACACATAACACATAACACGATAAGCACGAAGCTTAGTGACTTCCCCAAAATACCACATATATCACATTAGCCACTCGAGGCTGTAACTCAATAAGACCCTCCGGTCAATGTGTCTCAGTGGAGACCCTCCGGTCCTATAACTCGGGTGGACCCTCCGGTCCTAACTCAATAAGCTCAATGTAATACTCAGCATAAATTACAAAGATATAATGCAAGATAACACAATACTCAAATAAGCACATAAGTCCCTCCGGTCACACAAAGTATCACTCATGGTAAATATAGTGAGAAGACTCACCTCGTACGTAAGCTAAGAAAATGTGTACTCCTCGAATACGAATCACCGAATCTAGCCTCCGCCTAGTCACATATGATAATTATCTCTAATTAACACTTCAATCACAAATTCTAAATAACTAAGTTATTTTCCCTCTCTAACTCTTGTATTGGGAAAAAGACCATTTTACCCCTCCATGGTCTCCATAACTCATGATTGACCAAACCCTATAGTCAACAGAAGTCAAACTCGAGTCAACAGTCCATGTTGACCAAACTCGCCGAGTGCAACCATGTGACTCGTTGAGTCACCTTGTTTTCTTCAAAATGTCGCGAACATCCAACTTAACTCGTCGATTTGTCTCATCAACTCGTCGAGTGACCCATATCCAGACTCCTCGTGGAAAACCCTAGCTGAGTCGTCGAGTCAGCTCATCGACTCGTCGAGTCCTATCAAACCCTTTTTCCATTCAGGCGATTTCAACGAATAAAACCACCATAAACTCTAGATCCAACCTCCCAAGGCTTGAATATCACGTAAAGCAACAAGATTTACGTCCATGCATGGCACCTAGGGCTTGAAATGCCAAAAACATGATCCATTTAGGGTTTTGCACACAAAAGCTCTACTATGGCTGAATAAAGTTGGGACCTTTGGACTCTATGGACCTCATAAGGTCCAGATATGATGTCTCAATGCTTAGCAAGCACAAGCCACACAAAATCTCAAGGAAATATGGAAAAAGCCCCAAAAGTTCCTTATTAACAAGATCTAAACAATATGATGAGCAAGGTGATGAAGTTTACCTTCCAACAGAAGCTCCAAGTGAAAGAACACTATATCCCACAACCTTTCCTTGTTCCTTGCTTGTAACTCTGTTCTTCTCTTCCAATGGTTCACCAAAAACACTCAAAATTAGCTCTCTCACTCTCTCTTAGCTCAAATGGTCGATTAGGGTTTCACACAGGGGAGTTGGGTGGCTGGTGAGGCGGAAATGAGGACATAAGGTCCTATAAATAGGTCCCAACCCCGGAGATTTAGGGTTTCATCTAACAGCGCCAATTCGGCGAGTTGGTCCCTCCGACTCGTCGAGT